CAGGGCCAAAAAGAAAGAGCTATCAAGCAATGAAAGGAGACTGAGAAATTTTAAATGCATATTACCAAGTGAAAGAAGCCAATCTGAAAAGCTTACAAACTGTATGATTTCAATTCTATGATATTCTGGAAAATGCATAACTATCAAAACAATAAAAGGATCAATGGTTGCCAGGGAAGAATGAATAGACAAATCTCAGAGAATTTTCAGGGGAGTGAAACTATCCTGCATGATACTATATACTAAATGTGAATATATTTGTTAAAATTCACAGAATGTGCAAGAGTAAGCCCTAATGTAAACTATGGACATTAGGTGATCGTGGTGTGTAAAATCGGTTCATCAGTTGTAACAAATACACCACTCTGCTGCAGGATGGTGGTCATGAGGAAGGTTGTGCTTGTGTGGAAGCAAATTATATATGGGATTCTGTTGCTGTGAACCCAAAACTGCTCTAAAAAAGAGTATATTTTAAAGGAGAAAAAATTTCTCATACTACATAGCTATCTTTCTAGTATCCAAATGATACATTCCTTGAGATCATAATCTCTGTTTTAACTTATAAGCAATACCATGGAGATGAAGGTCACTTCAGACAGAGGTGTTTACAATTTTAAAAAATGAAAATATCTCTTGCCATGATCTCCACATGTATGATAATTCTAACAACACTTAAATTACATATTGTTTATAGAAGAAATTTTAAATCAATGCAATATCATGAGAACTGCTTGTATTATAATTTTTTAATATTTTATTCTGTAAAATAAATTCTTAAAAATCATGTTTGAAAAATTTAAATGGTATTGATAAATAGTAATTAGTTATTCTGAATTAGAAAAAAACTACACAGTGAGTTTCTCTTTGACAGATGTGCATGCTGTCCAATCTAATAAACCATTCAGTATTTTTAAAGCTGCATCTAAAATGTGCTAATGTCATTTAACGTAATCTAAAATTATACAATCTATGACTAAAGTTAGTTAAATGTCTGATTTTTCTTTCAATATAATGTTAAAAGTCACAGTGTCTTACCTAAACACAGAAGCAAAGTATGTACAATGGCAAGACATACATTTTGTGTGATCCCATATGGCCTATGAATACTCATGGTTATAACTCAGGAAGTCTGGTGAGGACCACTGCCTTAAGAATAAAATGAAACAATAAATCACCAATGGCAATAAAACAGGGGTCCAATTCTGGCTTTGTTACTCTTACTAATTGTATAATGAAAGGCAAGTCCTTAACTCCTTTATTTGTAAAATGTAGAATAGATGAATTCTAGAGGATTATGATGTGATACCTAGAAATTGTGTTTTTGTGCTGTAATATATTGCTTTCTTCAAATATATATTTTCTAAGCCAAAGTACTTTAATAGGCTAGGAACAGACCCAAAATGTGTCAATGAAAGACTTGATGGATGAAACCATATGTAGCATTTTAAACTGATCTGATTTTTTGAGAATCAAGACTCCTAAGGTCCACTTTCTTTCTTTTACTATGAATTGATATATTAATGTGACATTATACATCATGCAAGGATAATAAAAGGGGAAACTATGTCTTTGAGTTGCTCATAACACTGAGAAAATGGATGGAAATACACTTAACATACATTCACTAGTGGCGATTCCATAACTGATAACACCATGAATTTAAAATTGAATAAATTTATTTTGGCAAAAAAAAAATTCTTTTCATGTGTAGTATCTTTTCAAGACATCTAAAAAACCAAATATGAAGAAATGACATTTAAATGTCCCAAATTGTATACAAGTAATTCAAAATAACTTACTCATTCTCAGATAATCAATTTTCTCCCTAGTAAAACCTTAGAGATGTGAAGAGGCAAATAATAACTTGTGGAAAGTCAAGTTTCCCTACTGTTCATGTTTTAAAATTCTGAAACAAAAGAACACTATTAAAAAGTGTGAATTTTTAAAATTTTTAAAAATTTAAATTGGAAAAACATGAACAGTGTGTGTGTGTGTGTGTGTGTGTGTGTGTGTGTACAGTTTGTTGTTTTGAATTGTTTTCATTCTTCGTTCACTAATCCACTGAAAGACATTTACTAACAGAAGAGTATTTGTCTATTTGATAATGCTTTCAAAGCAGCTAGAAGAGGATTTTACATCTGGTAGTCTTCTTTATGGTACACATACATGAGAATAGATGCATATATGATAAATATAAATTCACCTTTAAAAAGCTATTTATATTTTGTAAGACAGATAATAGTGATTATTTCCATAAAGATATAGTTGTTAAATAATATAATTTTAATAATATAATTGTCTTATTATAATTCAATGACAAAAAACCATTAGATACTATTTTTTAATTTGACATATTGCTAAGAGATGAACTTTAGGGAATGTTTGGGCAAATGTTTGTGTTTCACAATGTGAGAAATTCAAAAGTCAAAAAGGAATACTGTATTATTAGTTATTTGTCCAATCCCCATCAATGAGGTCATTCCTGATGTGGCTGCCAAATACAAGACCACTCCTCCTGAGAAAGACATGTAACTGTGTCTTATTTTACAACAAACACTTGTCCTTTTATCATACTCCATCTTCTTCATAAAAGTGTTCTACAGGGAAAAGAAATAAAGAAGAATCCTCAAATTCACTGTAAAACCATTTTCTAATTACCAGGAGATCCAGACTTCCCTTCTCAAATAGTTAGTATTTGTATACACATGGATAATTGTCTTTTCATGTAGAAAACAGTCTCCTAAGATAATTTTGTAGAAACTCTTATATGTGGGAAACTTTTGCGAGCTCTCTTTGGATTTTTTTATTAAATACACACACACACATACACACACACACACACACACACACACATATATATATATATATGAATAGAGGAAGGGAACATACCATTATTTTAAAAAACTGCATTTTAATGAGAAAGGGATACTTATATCACATTCTTCCATACTGAATCAAAGCTTAAGCCTTTTGAATTAATTGGGCCAAGGCATCAAGGCACCCTAAGGTAGCTTAGATGATGCTGCAGTTAATTTAATATTAAAACAACAAGGAAAGGCTTTCTCTCCTCCATTACACAAAAGATTGAGTCAAAGAGGGTAACATCATTGATATAATCCTTTCTTACATAGATAGTAAAATTTCCATCCCATTTATGGAGATCAATGGAAGATATCTGAAGAAAACTTTCATAAACTTCCAATAAGTAATTTCATGCAATTTAGAAAAAAATGATTTGTTAAATAAGTATTAATACAACCTATGTCTAACAGATTGACTTAGAATTTGAAATATTTTATCCAGTATGATTATGTACTACTGCTATATTACAAAAAATTTAGTTTTCAGACACAAGTCAAAATTTGCACTGATGTGCAATGAGCAAAGTGGAACTTCTGCTTGAATTAAAAAACAGACATACGACAATTAAATAATTTATATTTTTTAAAGGCTAGGTCCATGTGAATAAGGCTGATGATATTGAAATAGGACTTGGGATTCTGAATCTATCAATTAGTTGCTGAAAGAAACCAAGCCTGTTGCTTAAGTAAATAATCAAACAAGGAATATAATACAAGTTCTTCCTTATTGGGAAGGAAAAGGAATAAGAAATGCAAGTAAATTAATAAAAGTTCTGAGAGAGTCTTACAGATCATAAAACCTTTTAAGAGTTAAAGACCAATTCTCAATAACTAGTAGGGGAACTAATACATGAAAAAGAGTAATGAATGAAACTTTTAAACTTTTAGAATATCTTGCTCTTGGAAAACCATAAGGATTTCTATGCCATTTTTAAATCATACACAGATTTAGGATTTTACTTTAATTTGGGAGATATACTTACATAACTTCATAAACAACTTTGTTGCCTTGATTATACATTGAAGAATGCACATTATTACTTTAGGCTATTAACATTAAAAAATATTTTCCCCACACAAAAGATAAGAATGCTGTTAAGGGCTTGTCTGTGTCTGCATTTATGGATCCATTCCAGGGATCCTTCAGGCATGGGAATTTCTTAAGTCTTCCTAATTCCTCTATGTACCTGATTGGATTCAGAAAATATTGGCAGATTCTCAACTGAGTAAGAGAAGTTCAATAACATGAATTCTATCCTTTCTTTGTTCCTCCTTGTCTTAAAATAATGCCTTGAAGGGTTTACTATTTACTACTGTGCTGAATATTTTTTAGTAGATACCTATAAGGCATTCCATGTGAACACATATACCGGTATCTCCTTAGGAATTGTCACTTAAAAAAGAATCCCTAGCTTTATTCTCCCAAACTTTGAAAACTAATGAAAAATTAAGTTTTCAATAAAATTTTTAATATATCATTCTTGATTGCTTTCCATTAATATAGGCAAAAATTTAAGAGAGAAACCTAATGATATGATTTCATGTTAGGCTCATAATTAGTCTTCATACCATGCAGCACAGGCCCACACTGTTTTTATCAATAAGAAACCTTCTCATTAAAAATCAAAGAAATAGTGTATGTTTTGATATTAGTGCAGAACGTTCAGTGTTAAAAGGCCAAAATATTTAATAGAACATTCAGGAATCAATGGAATATTGTTAAGTAAACTAAGGAAAGTACTTATTTATGTAAAATGTGTTCGTTCCTAGCACAGTGCAAGAGTCTGCATGGTGTTCAGAAAATAGACCTAGATTACCTTGATTAATTTCATTTGCCTTGTGAAAATCTGCAGTGTGATTGATTCTATAACTAGAAAGAAGAAACATAAATAATTTTCATTTGTATTGTTTTGGAAAATGATCTGCTTGAAAGGGAAAACTGCTAGTCATACTTTAAGCTCAGCTGTGTGTCAATCGTACCCAGAATTGAATATCCTTTTTACATATGGTGAACAAGATACTTTTCTGTACACAAAAAACAAACCTCTCTTTATATGTGTGTGTGTGTGTGTGTGTGTGTGTGTTAATCCTGACTTGAGTCACATGCCAGACTAATTGAAGAAAACACATTTAAAAATAGACTTTTCATTTTAGTTTTATTGTGAGTAGTATTTTTAATTTTCTTGAAAGGCACCCAAGAATAATTACTTTTGTGAACCAAAAATATACAAAACTGTACAGAATAAATACTTCATAGAAATCTAGCTATACCTTCTTACAAAATAAAGCTACATCATCCCTCTTTTGAGGCAACTTAAACCACTTACCTTTAGAAGTGCCTTTTGCTACTAATTTATGGCATCTATCCGTATACATCAATAAAAATAAAATAAATTTTTCTATTTGTTTTACACCTGTGAATTACTTGCCACAAGAAACTTATTTCTATCATGGTCATCCAAATTTACAAAGGATTAATGCTATGAAAGAAAGCAAACTTAATAGATCCTCTAATCATATGTACAGTTGACTCTCAGTAGCATTTTAAAAATATACCAAGAAGAATAATTAAACTTTGAGCACAAATGACATACCTTAGTTCACAGCAGCATTGACATTAAGATTGTCTACACAAAATGTGCAGAAAAACCAAAACGATTGCTTATTATTCCACCTGAACAATCACTCAATTTTATTTTTTAAATTCAGAAAGCATAAGAGTGGCATTTGTTTAATCTTCAAATGTTCAAACTTTTGGGCCACCCATGGTCTATATAATTACAACTTTTCCATTGTTTTCTTTACTACTACTATTTATAATTTTCAAGTTCCAGTTCCTTTTGCATTTATTGCAAGAAAATTAGATATGTTTAACAATGCACATTTTTGAAGTACATACTGGTTATAAACAATGTATTCCTTACATATTATAACTACAGATACAGGTATATTTTTTAAATGATGAAATCCAATTTTTTTTACTCTATGGGGAAAATAATTCAAGAAAATTCGGGATGCTTAAATGTTCTACCTTTTTAAATGTGCAAGAGGACTTCTGTGAAACACTTTTCAGTATATGGAGAAATATTACTATAATCCTTGAATGATTTACATGCAAGGATTTATTTTATTTGGGACAAACTAAATTGCCTGAACATAATGCCATGGCTTCTCCCAGTGATCCCTGAGTTTCTTTTTCTTCTTTTTTTCCCATAGGATTACTGCTGTGCTTAAGTTCTGATTGATGACACTCATGTAAGGCACTTATTTACAAGGTTTGGACTTAAGACAGAATCACAGCATTTCTGCGAAAGCCCTCAAACTTTCCGTCTATGTCTGTTGCTCCAGGACTTCCAAATAGTCTGGTTCAGCATGTAAATTAGCTTTGAGCTCAAAATATTCATTTTTAGTCTGCTCCACTAAGACCTTCCTTGGCCGTGCATACATTAATGTTTCCATTAATTTCAACTCTTCGTGGGCTCCAGGATAATGTACCTCCATGTCAGGCTGGAGCTGAGCAATGTTTTTCCTTAGGTATTCTGTGATTCCCAGTTGCTGAAGTTCTCTTTCTTTTTCTAAAATGTTCCTATACAATGAACTGGCATCCTGGAAGGATAAAAATTCTGTTGATTGGTTTGTGGTTTTGTATTTCATATTTGACCCTGTAAGAGGTGAGTGGTTTTCCCGTTCCAAAAGACTTCTTTGGAGATGTTTTCCATCACTTCCTTCCTTCTCATTCCTCTCTTCTTCCTCTTCCAAATGCTTTGGACCAAAGGATGGACTTCTATAGACATGAACCATGGGGCTCACCATGTGCTGCTCGTACAGTGAGGCAGAGGGTCTTTCAGTAGTGTGATGCGTTGTTTTGTGGCCATACATGCTGTACTGAAGATGCACAGGACTGTTGTCTCTCATTTGCTCATTTACTTGTTTCTTTTTGTACCTTCTCCTGCGGTGGAGAACAAGAACCACTATCCCTGCAGCACAGAACACAATAGTTATAAACACAATCAGAAGTCCTAATATCAGAACAGATAGTGGTACAGCATCAGTAAGAGATCTTAAAATAGTATCCGCTGTGTTTGTTGTTGTTGTAGGAGTAGTGACAATAATGAAACCTGTCTGAGTTGGCAGGGATGGGTTATTTACTAAACCTGGGCAGAGAAGTTCACTATTCAGGGCTTTTAATTCCTTTTTGTCGAGATGCCCTGGGGAAGTGCAAAGGATGTCATCTGTCACTGTGTTCTTGCCTAATTTTTGTATCCATTGCTGCAATCCAACCAGGTCACAGGAGCAGTCCCACGGGTTATCCTCAAGGTCAATCTGGGTCAGTAAATCAAGATCATCCAAGATATTACTTACAGGCAGATGGGTAAACTGATTTGCTTTAAGATTTATCCTAGTTAGGGGAACTCCTGAAAAAATATGTGGTGGTAAAACTTGTAGCATGTTGTTATTTAAATAGAGGACTTTAAGTTTAGGCATTGGGTTAAATGTTCCTGGCAGTATTTCCTTAACTGCATTGTATTCAAGATATAGGTACTCAAGATTGTGGAGACCAAGGAACATGCCTCTACTTAATTTGGTCAGATGGTTACCATTTAGATAGAGCTTTTGTAATCTTGTTAGATTCATAAATGATCCTTCTTCAATAACTTCAATACGATTATTTCCCAAGTGGAGCATTTCCAAAGTGAAATATTCAACTAGATCAGACTTCATTAAAGTATGAATAATATTCCCTGCTAGAATAAGCTTTCTAGGATTCTGTGGAGGAGGTTTCAGATCTGATACACTTTCAATGTTGCGTTCTTGACAGTGGATTAGAAGTCCTGATGGGGATAAGAGTTTGCAGTTACAAGGAATGGGACAGTAGGGTCCTGGAAGTTGAGTGGGCGGCTTTGTAATATAAGGTATCAAACCTGGAGCTTTGGTGGGCAGTTTTAAAATGGATGTGGTCTTGGCTGATATGCGACTATCACTTATTGAAGATGTTGCTGCCAGGTGTAATGATCCTGAAGGATCCTCATGTTCTTCATAAACTGGTGGAATGGGGCAAATAGATTCCTTTTTTATCCTACTTAATATGCTTCCTTTGAAAAATGGAGGGCTATTGCACACAACATCACCAATTATGGCCTGTGGAGGCATGTTTTCCAACCAAATTTTTAGCTGCAATAAGTCACAATTACAGGCCCACTTATTGTCCTCCAACTGGAGATCCAATATTCGGCCAATGTGTTCTAAAAAACCGACATAAGGCAATGTTTGCAACTGGTTTCCACGAAGATCTAGATGGGTTAAAGGAACAAACCGGAATATGTTTGGAGGAAAACTCTCAATGGCATTGTCGTTTAATATTAACACTTTAAGTCTGCTGAGCTTGCTAAAGGCACTTGGTTCAATCACTGTAATAAAATTGTTATCTGCTTGTAGGAATTCCAGGTTTTCCAGTCCATGAAAGGTATCCTCTTTAAGAATTTCTAAGGAGTTGTGATTGATATGAAGTTGTTTAAGGAGGCCAAGGCCATTAAATGCACCTGTCTCAATATCTGCAATATTGTTAAATCCAAGGTGTATTGAGATAGCATTAGTAAGCCCAGAAAAGTCATTTGTGTGAAGCATTGTCAAGCCATTATTTAATAAGCTTAGGTGGAAAGGTCGTGATGGTGGCACAATTATTTGGGATAACTTCTTGATACCTTTTTCTTCACAATTTATTAGCATTGTGCCATCTTTTTCCTCACAATTGCAAAGGGAATCACAAGACCCTTTGGCTGAGGACATTGGCGTTTGGGACTGTAAAGATATGCAGGCAAGGAGAGATGCATATAATAGATGAATCCACAGCTTCATGTTGTCATGTGATGAAATCTGATTCTGGAAAATAAAATGCAATAGCAAGGGACTTTAGTGGGCAGGATCGGGGATGAGATGAATCTGACAATTTCAGAATGATAGGCTTTCCTCTAAAAAGTAAGATACTGACTACCATGAAAATATGAGTACCTTGATGCATCTATATTTTCTTTTTCTTTTTCCTAATATTTGGACAGGCAGGTTCTGGGTTAGTTTTCATTTACACTGTGGTCAAAATATAAAATTTAGGTAAAGGAGAATTTAAAATATTATATAATAATTTGCATTCACATCTCATAAATAATCTGCATTATAACAGATGACAGAGGTGCTGGCTAAATGGACCATGTATACTTTGATATGAAACAAAGTTGTATATTTGAAAATACTGATTTTCTTTAACTCAGAATAGATGAATTTAAGACTAGAGGATTATATCCTAAAACTCGTTTCTTGTGATTAGCCAGAAGTATATAGAACTGTAGGGGATGTAAAAATGATAGAAATAAAGTGTGTGTGTGTGTGTGTGTGTGTGTGTGTGTGTGTGCAGATGTGTGTATGTATGTAGTATGCATTTTCTTTCTATTTTTGAACTGTCACAACAGCTAATAACTGTGTCTGTTTTTTAACCTGCTTTGGTTTCAACTCAAGATATTTATTAATGTTATTATTCATTTTAAAAACCTTTAGGGAAATGTATCTTTCATTATGTAATAAAGTAGAACATTATAAGGACTTTATTTAAACTATTCAGTCTAGGGTAGTTTGTATAAGCACAATGGTATCAGATATACATGCTTAAGAGTGCCTGTTCAAATTTCACTTAAATCATACTTTATATTGAATTATAGAAGTAGGATATTTCTTACTACTTTTACAATCTGCTATGGATTAGGCTAAAATCATAAAAACTAAAGAAGAAAAAATGATCTTTAACACACATTTCAGGCTATTGTAAAAGAATAAACAATGCCTCATATAAACTTCTAGCAAATGACTTCCTAATGAGGTACTGAAACAGGCTTTAGGGCACTGAATATCATCACATAATTAAGCAGTTGGTCTCCTTTACTATAAGGCTTAAAGTTTCAAACAATGAAATCTGAAACAAACTGCATTATATTAAAATACTTGATGATATCTCTAATTTGGTTAAAAAATAACAGTTCAAGATAATAAGATCACAAATTCTAAGTTCTTAAACATTTAAGACATACATCTAAAACAGAAATTCTTAAAAAGACTCCAACTTTTAAAAGACAGTAATGGTAAGGTAAGCATCTTTAACAGTATCTAATTTTATTTCTTTCCTTTAAACATTAAACCTTGAATTTATATAAACTAAATTGAAAGATAAACACCACATCTTATGACTACTCATCTTTTCAAAATGGTAATTGCTTTCATTTTTTTTCATTGAAATGTGAACAGTAAATTTCAATTTAATCAAAATTTACAATCATATGAAACATACCAGATCCCAATCAATAATCCTGAAAGTAAACTTTCCTTCCCTAAAAACACATTGCTTTATTGAAAACATATATAGTATGAAGTTTCTGAGAGGCAAAAGTCAACTGAAGAAACAAGACAATATAGTGCCTATAAAGGAAAAGTTAGTAGACTTTATGTTTCCAGAGGGAAATACTTTGATTTTAAATAGCTTTGGGGGCTGTGGTTATAATCAAGCATCTTGTAGTTGGAGTCTTTAACTTGTGGATTAGCTTCTACAAACACTCAAACTACTTCTCCATAAATTACCAAGAAAGAATAAGGTTCATTTCACCAAGCACAGCATCTTGAGAAAATAGTTTATAATTTTTAAATGATAAACTCTCATTTTTTAAATCTTATATACAGTTTTTGCTCTTCAAAATGTGCTAGGGAATAATTATTTGCAAAGTGGTTCCATAATGGCAATACCTGATACAGTGTTAAAGAGGTAAAAAAAAAATCCCATTTACATATATTCAAAAAATACATATTTTCAAGTCAGAAAATAAAAGTAGCATACCAAATATAAAGAATTATTCAATATTCTGCTTATATTTTAAATTCAACAGTGGAATTTGGAAGTGATCTTTCCTTCACAGAGCACACATATTTAGCTTCCAATAACAAACTGAATGTTGTAAAAGAAATAGTGGCATATTATTATATCTGTTCTTTTCTACAGCCAGCTGTTAGACTAAATGTCTGCTGCTCAGAGAAAACAGGCATCTGCTACAGTGTTAGTTGTGCCAATAAGCAAGACTGAAACTGAATATCCTTTAATGCAAAGTTTTTTTTTAAAGGAAGCAGTCATATAAATTTAATCACTTTGCCATAATGCAAAAATAAGTATAAGAAAAGCTTGGAAACATTCATCTTACCTGTAAAGCAGAGACTCTTCCTGACGTTATCTGTAATGCACAGCTGGAAGAGGTGTTCAAAGTAATTCAGTTCCTTTATTTAAAAAGAAAACACCAACCACCACGCACTTTCTTCTCAAATATCACTTTTTGGCAAGTCTCGTAGCTTCATAAAGTTAAAACCTCTGGTCAAAGACAGAATGCTGAGCATTTCATTGAAAATATTTCAAAGAGAGTGCAGACTAGAGCATCCTGAAGCAATTGTCCTTTTTTTCCCCAATTAAAATTCACGGCATACTTCGCAGCTATGCTGACTTTTTTGCATATAGTTAACCATTTGCAAGCTGCTGAATGCAGTAAATAAACAAGATGTTTAACAGAGCTGCAATTGATCACTCTTGATTTCTTAGGTTGTAGATCCAAGCTGCAGCAATGTTCTCCTTCCTCCTTTTCTAGTCTTTCTTGTTAGCTCAGTTTGTTATTAGTCAGATTGCCAAGGGCTGGGAGGTAGGCGTAAATAAAGAGACTTCTTGGCTTTTGACTCAGCCTTTAAGCCCTTCCCCATCAGAGTGCTTTAGCCTGCCAGTGTCATATAACACAAGAGACAGCTCCACCTTGGGACTGCTCAACTCCTCCTCTTTTTGCAAATGGTCTTTTTGCTCCCTTTTAATACTAAATATAGTGCAAGTGAATTTTGATGGAAAATATGTTGTTTCAAATGTTTAATAATATATTTTGTTATTATAGCAAGCTAAATGATGCATTAGGTTAAATTCTCAACTGACACAGTTCTGTATTGTTTGCACATGTACCACAAGAATGCTGCCTACAGTTGCTTCACATTTTTTTTTTTTACTGGTTTTTATAGTTGAAATTGTGCACTAATTAAAAGTTAAAATGTTAATAGGAACTGCTTTTCCGAAACACTTGTATTTTTGTATTCACCATTTAATTTTTTATACTTCATTATTTCTTTCCCTAGGGCTAATGATCAATGATGAAACTAGAAATGAGATTCTCTTTCAGTTATGATATTTACTTAGAATGGCAGTATGATTTTTAAAAATTATATTTAAAAATATTTAATCACAAAATGATTATCATCAATCAAACACTATTTATCACTCTCAAAAATATAAAATTATATCTTTATAGATAAAATGAAACAGGTTAAATAAATATATAAAAATTATAATAACCTGATTATTATGGTATTAACTTGGAGAGAATTTTTTCTGAAAAGGTTATATTTTAAAAAATACTTGTTTTTTAACTCTTAAAAGTTTTTGAATTGTCACTAATGAAACTCTCAACTGCCTGATTCCTTATCTCTCAAAATGGCTGCTTTTAAAAAAATAATTCTTTACCTACTTCCCATGTGTCTGAGCCCTCTCACATTCACATGGATATACTACATGTTATCTTTTATGTATTTATTATGTTTAGAAGCACTCTTGTGCCTATAGATTTTAGAGGCCTCTCATATAATATTAGGTCTCATTTCCAAAAATTATATTTAAAAAAGGAGGATTTGTTGTAGCTTAATTCATCAAAATGTGAGAATATCAAGTTAAAGTATTATATAATAATTGCTGCAGTTATGCACTCAGATTCATATGGTTTTGATATCCTCAGTGTAAAATATTTGTTTAAGTAGATAAGAGTTTTATGGCAATTTCTAATACTCCCACTTTATATTATATTCTCCACTGATTGAGTTCATCATTTATTTTAATGACATTTTGTGCTTTAAGATGGAAAAGAGATGATACAGATTAGGGGAGGGGGAAAGAGAATAAAGATAAAGAAAAAGAGAATAAAGAGAATAAGAGAGACTAAAGATAAACAATTATTCTTTGGCACAATTTGTTGGTAGCTGACAGCCAAGTTAACTTAAATCAATCTAATAATCCAGATATATAGTTATAAACTAGAATTTTAACCAATAGAAAAACAGGGAGCTAGAATACGTTTCCTCTCAACTCTGTAGTCAATAATGCTCCAAATATATTTCTTTAATTTTTGAGGGCAAGATTACAGAAGAAATATTCTGATAGTCTGGGGCCAAAGTTGTTCAAATCTATATGTGGACAAATGGAAGTAAATTTCCTATAGATTGATAAGTTTCCCTCATTTCCTCCAATTTGAGAATAGGTCTATTTTATCCATAATATACACATAGTAGAAATTTGAAGTTCTTTATCTTGAATTGCTTTCCTATCTATTACATCTTTTCTTTTTAGTGCAGAAATTGATGGTTAATTACACAATAGTAAGGGAGAGAAAAATTGACTAACACTTTTTTAAAAATCCTTGACTTGTTCTATAAGTTTATGGTGGAAACAAAAATACTAGGAGGAGAATTGTTGTTAGAGGAACATTCTATAACTTTTAACTTAATTTAAAATGGTAATAATGATAATTACTCAACATTACCTCAAATTTTATTAAAGTATACCCTAGTATAGTCAAAATGATTATGGATAAATATATTGTACTCTAGGTTTTTATCCACTGTAATTCCTCAGTTATTACATCCATCAATACTTTTTTATCCAAAATGTTTATGGCAGGATATAATGCTAATGATTATTGTACAACATTTATTTAAACATTATTTTTAATTTCCAATTATTACATGGGGAAATACATTTCCAGTGTAGCTTCTCCCAAGTTTTAATAATAAATTTATCATGTGATTGTGATAAATGATAAATTTCATTTACCTTTCCACCTAATCTATTCCCTTACTCTATTGTTTAAGTAGATAAGAGTAGCTCCATATTGGAAAATGTTAACAAGTAATGAATTATTAATCACAACCTGTAAGTTATATGTTATTGTGATTTTTAACTATATCTGTGCTTTTTAGAGTATGCATCTTTAAAGGACAAACATGAAAGCACCTTGAATACCAACTAGTCAGAAGAAGTAAACCTGTCTCTGTTGTTAGTTTTAAAGCAGCAGTCTAAAATCAACTGGATGCATTGTGCACTAGGACAGAGTAGGGGAATGATGGGGGGATGTCATAGATGGGGGGATGTCATCTTAATATCCAATGACCACAAAGACTAGTTGGAAGAATGTTTTATGAAATTTGTTGAACTGATAATGTATATGGAACAAATAGAATAAAGAGACCAAGATTGAGCACTGAAAAGAAGAGAGAAAAGAATAAAATAGTGAAAGGGAAGTATTCATGCTACACAAGACCAGTTGTAACTCAGAGCATCTTCCCTCTTTTCTTGTGTCACATTTAAGAGGTAAAGACAAGACACATGTCAGATTGAGTTTAATTCAAGAATCTGAAAGGCTTTCAGGGAAAGAACTCCGCACCATCTGTGGTTTAGACTGGGACATACTGAAATACTCTGAAGGTAAAAAGTATAAAACTTGGTGACCTTTTGAGGACAATATAGTGTATGGATTTTAAATATTCACTGGTGGTCTCACTCTTTGAAGAAAAACTTTAAAGACAAAAATAATCTTAAATAAATTTCACCTTTTAAAATAAATAGTTAATGCAAATCTTTGAAAAACAGGTATTATTATGGGCGCTATATGCTTTGTACTGTCAGGAGATTACATTGAACCTCATAATAATGCCATTATAATAAAATATTACAAATACTTTTAAGTAATGCTTAAACATACAGATCTGTAGAAACCCTGATGCACTAATTTTATCAACATTAATAAAGACAAATTTTATTTTTCATTTCACACTGAAAGTTTTCTTTAAATTTATAAATATCTTTTAAAAAGAAAATTTGTTTCATTATAAAACTTAAAAGATCAAAACATATAAGAAAAATAAAATTCACTAGCAATTCCTTAACTTAAATTCAACTCAAATGTTTACTATTTTGTTTTCCCATCCTCTCCATTGTATATGCAAGTAATAACTTTTATAAAATAAGAAAAAGTATTTTAAAATCATGGGTAAAAATCTACTTAAATTTATAATTTGACTTATTTACATAAATCCCATTCATAGAAAATAATAATTGAAGTCTCTTGCCTTTTATCTTTCAAAAATAATGTGATAGAGTAACCTTTAAATTTGATTCTCAAATCTGGAACTCAGGGTTCTCTTTCATGTTTCACTGGAAGAGACTCAGACCCAAATACTTTACAATCATATTTTCAGTTCCTTCAGAGTAAGAGCATAATCATTATTGATCTCTTGACTTCTGATAACTATAAACTAAGGGGCTAACTTTTGGATGAGGACGAATAGAAGACTTTCTCACCTTTTAGCGCTATACATACATTTCTGTAGATGAGAAGGTCAACTGCACATGATTTCTCTCAGTGAAAAGTCTATGTTTCTTAGAGGAAATGTATAAGATAGATATAATATTTTATCAAGTCACACATGAGTAGGTATTGAGGAAATCTGCCTTTTGTATTATACCTTTACCAAAAAGTTTAATTTGTTATTTTAATCTTAAGTTTCTTTTATGCTTAATTTGACCTGACAGCAAAGGTATAAAATGGATAAAGGGATTGCTTTATTCTAAGAGAAGTTTTATAATAAAACTTCCTGTTGCTTATTTGAGTTCTATTGACACGAAGAAATGCTCTGATACCATTGTTTAATTTGGCAAAACATAAAATAAAACAAAACCTTTCTTCTGGAAGCTTGGACTACGAACAGTTTGTCTTCACATACAGTATGTTGGAGATTTCATGCAACCCTTTACTTTTAAATGGATGACTAAGCAAACTTAAAAAAAAACAAAAAACTAGACAACTAAAAACAGGCCAAAATTGTTGAGAAATGTTTTCATGATGAATAATGAGCAACGTGCAAGAGAAAACCGTGCACTAGAATGATTCTAAGCATGAGCTATTTTGATCGTAGGGAGACACTCTGTGAGGAAGGCCTTGTACCTACTTTGTAATTTTTTTCTCCATAGTACACCAGATTGTGTCACACATACAAAATAGTCAAATAAGTTGTTTTTTGTATGCTCTGATGATAATTTTAGGACACTTACATCCTTGTTCTTCAAGAATATATTTAAATAGTTTTTTTCACTCATATGACAAAAAAATGCTACAGATCCAGATAAAAAATTAAAAATAAATAAATTTATCCTATCTTTTCAAATGTTGTTTAATAAATATTCTAACACATCTGTGCAACTAAATGACATTACATTCAGATAATTAACAATCATAGTAGGCAAATACCACTGAATTAGATATGTGCGCTAGATCATCTGCTTGATGGACCACCTGCCAGAGATTTTAAATTCCTGAATGACTTCTATTGCCAATAATAACTCATACATCACTGTCTCTGCTTGTTACTCATTGCTGTGTCATTAATGGATACATTCTTATTTTAATAGTTACAAATTTTAAAAACTTGTGATATTCAACCATTTTTATAAAAAAGTCAATTGCATTTAGTTCAACTTATATCATTATAATAAAGTTGTAAAATCATGATTGAAAATATCATGCATATATATTTTTTTACTCTTCTTTGAGATCATCTACCTGAAGATGATCTCCACGTAATAGAGTGAAAGTAATAACTTTTAAATTTTATATGCACAAGTAATACTCAAGAATATGCTATC